GTATATTGGTTTTTCTTTAGTGAGTAAGTTAATAGTATGACTTTTTTATTCTTACTGTTATTTTACCCTCATTCCATTTTTTTTTCTCCATTCTCCCTCCTTAAGTACTCCCCACACACTTTACAGATCAGATACCCTGCTATTCACCTCTCTGTTGTTCCCCCAGCTCCTTACCCTGACAATGGTCCCTTTCTTACTTTCCTAAGTTTTACTACAGTTACTCCAGGGCATGTACTTATAAGAAATAAGATGAAACTTTTGTCCTTCTGGATCTGGGTTACCTCTATGTTGTTCCATCCATTTATCTGCAAACTCCTTGTTCATTTTTCATTATTATTGCCAGTATCAGTGCCCCTTACCTCTTTGCTTTTGTTTGTGGTAGACTCCTTCTGTCATTGCCTCAAATGCTTTATTGCAGATACCTTGTACTCATAGAAAGGCACCATGTTTTAAGGATATATGTAAATTTGAATGTATTTTTCCTATGTGCCTGGAACTGACCACATTGGCCATCAGGAAACAAGTTTAAACTGTATCCTTTCAGGCCTCTTTTCATACCCAAGCTTCAGCAGGGAATTGTGCTTTTGATTTTTGCCTATAATGATGTTCAGTTCTCCTTACAAACAGGTGACCAGTTACCACAAGGTGTCTCAGTTCTGATTAATTTGTTGGGACCAAAAAATGTTTGGAGATAGCACTACTAGAAATCTGACTTGAGCCCCAGCTCATGATGCTCTGTAGTAAGGGTAGGCCTTCAGAGGGATGAAGTGTTATTAGCCAAGGCAGAAGCTCCTTGCTCTTACGCTTTTGAGGCTGCTCTGAATCAGAGTGCACTAAGTACTACTCACTACTCCATGTGACATCCATTTGACTGCTGTGTTTTCACGGGTATCATGGTGAAGGTGATGATGCCACTGTCTGACTTGTGAGGTTTCTGTGAGAATTAAGCTAATATAGCTCAAGTCTGTAATACAGAGCATAGAACATCATTAACACAATAAGTAAAGAGATTTTCTACGCTTTAGATCAGATGATACAGTGATGGCTTTCAATTAATAAGCACTCATAGCTGTTAACTCCCTGGCATTTTACTGTCTGTGTGTTGTAACTTTAGGAAGAAGGTGAGTCTGACAGGATAAAACAACTGGTGGTGTTACTGGGGCTTCAATGGACTAGGAGACTGGAACCAGAGAAACAAAATGGAAACAAACCAGAGAAACAAAAAACCAGAGAAAAAAAATGGGACTGGTCACACCCACTTTACTAAACTTCTTAGTAATGGGCAACACATATTCTGTACCCGCAGCTGAGGCCTGAGATTAAAGACATTCACCATCACTGCTGAGCTATCAACTGTTCTTAAAATAGCCTTATCACAATGTTAAGAGGGGAGATGGCTGAGAGGTGAAGAGCACTGACTGTTCTTCCAGAGGTCCTGACTTCAATCCCAGCAACCACATGGTGGCTCACAACTATCTATAATGAGATCTGGTTCCCTCTTCTGATATGCAGGCAGAACACTGCATACATAACAAACAACCAAACAAATAAATAAATAAATCTTTTTTTTTTTAAAGTGTCCTTCTTGAGAAGAAGACATACTTAAAAAAAAGTTGGTGAACTTTGGGAGTTATATACACATACACACAGTTTATGTTAATGGATATATATACCAATTTAGAGGTTCACAAACTTTCACAGCATCCTTAAAAATCTCAAAGTTGGGCCTGTGGAGATGGCTCAGAGGTCCTATCCAAGCATGAGGACCAGAGTTCAGATACTCAGACACTCACATAAATGCTGGATGAACACAGTTGCTATAGGGACAAGTTGGCTAGTAAGGCTTACCTTATCGGTGAGCTCTCGGCTGGATTGAGAGATCTTGTCTCAATCAGTTAAGGTGAAAGAGAAATTGTTAATTCTCAAAGTCAATCAAGGGCCTACACACAGTGAAACACATGGATATACCAGCACAAACATACCCATGTGTGTAAAATAGGTAAAGGTAATTTCTGCCTTTTTGCGTGTATGTACCAAAGTAAACACTCAGTAGTTTTGTTTATTAGGTAGATACAAACAACTGAAACTACTTATGCCCCAACAGCTGTTGCTGTTGAAAAGTTTTTTGAAAGGAGACTACTTTGTGTGTATAGTTACTTCCTAATGATTGTCTCTCTCAAGCATTATACAGTAAATACAACCTCCCCGAACCAGTATGGGTACTTCCTGCTTCCTCCTTCCATATGGATTTTTTTTCTGTGATTCTTGCTTTTTATTACAGTAATAACAAGCTGTTAAGTTTTGGAAATTACATGAAATTATTTAAAAGGAACACACTAGAGCCTAACACGGTCAACTGCTTTGTGTTAACAGTGCTTGCACTGCCCTCCTCAGGACACCTTGGCATTAACACCACATACTGTACCTTTGCTTCATGTTTCCCCCTTTGTCTCTAAACTCAAAAAATTATAGGCTCTCTTCTTGAACAGATTCAGAATCAGGACATCCACTTAGGTCATGAACCATTTAGAGTTGAAAACAATAGGTGGAATTTTCTCACTGTCCCTTGGCCTTTTTCTTATTCTTTATCTTAGTGAATGGGGGCTTTTGAGTCTTGGTCACAGATCAGAATGAAAATAGAAAGGGAAGCAACTTTCTTGGACACCCCCCACACACACTCACACTGGAAAAGTTGACTTGGAAATATTGCCTTAACTGTCAGATCTTCAGCCACCCTTCTGTTTGCTCCTCATAGTTGCTGCTGTCTCTCTTTTCACTGTACTAACTAGATCTGTCTTTGCTTACCTCATCTTAAGAGGGGAGGGGAGGCACATCTCTCCCAGTCCATGGCCAGAACAGCAGCCCAGACTTTTTTCGTGATTCTAACTGAAGTGTTACTTTATCAACTCAAAGGGAATGTCATGTCAATTGCTAAATACCCCAGGCTGCCATGGAGCTCCAGTGAGACACACTGGCTAAGTAAATGACTCTGTTTGATAGTTACCACATTGTCCACACGAGTGCCACTTTTCCAGAGCCATGAAACTGGACTAGAACTCCGCAGTAACAGTTTTGTGATAGGGTGAAAATGACTTCAAGACAGGCTTTAAGACTCAAGTTTGTGAATGCTGTCATTAGAAGATCAAGGAAGCATCAGGTGCTGGGTAGGAGGTTGACACCTGTCTCCCTGTGCTTTTATCAGAGATAACAAGTAAACGGTCTGAAGGTGACAGGGATGGCGACACTCAGTGTTTAGAAGCATAGATGGTTGAGGCCTAGTGAGGATGTTGTTGAAGGGAGGCTAAATAGTTCCTCTCTGTGCTATATAGGGGAGTCATTTCTTTGCCCTAGACATAGATGAGAGGATGAGAGGTTCTGGTTGACCTCTTCACTTTTGTTTTGTTTATGTTTAGGGGTGGGGCTTACTGCGGTAGGGGTGGATTCTTGAAATTCCCAGAACATTTCATTTTCCCACAGATGTACAGAGGAACACTATTAACAGGGTGAGGATGAGAGTCCTGAACTGTTAACTTGTCCCTCTGCTCTGTGGCCTCCTTGCCCACGCTCACTGGGCACATGTTCAATACACAGCATCAAAAGGAGAGGGAGGGTGTGTGTGTACATGTTCATGCATGCATGTCTTTCATTCATGACTGTATTTCAGGTTGTCTTTGAACTCATGATCTTGCCTCAGCCTCTTTAGTTTTGGGATTACAGTGTCAACCAGACTGGAGGTCTTTATTGGACGGACAGACACCCCCACACACACGCCTGTCTCTCTTTATTCTAAAGCATTTTAAAGGAAAGAAACACCATAGATCATGATGCTGGAGTCATGTGGTGGTTTACCAGGCTTGCTGAACCCATGGCTCACTTCTCTCCTCATCTTGGGAGGTCCTTTACACAGGCTGTCTAACTGGTCTTTATTTAACCATCAGCCCACTCAGACTTAAGTGAGGTAGATACACCTTTAGTTTCCACTGTTGGTACCCTTTGACCATCTCTAATTCTGTGTTGGAGAGATGTCAGGACGAGGCTTTATATCCATGAAACCCTTCCTCATTAAAAATATTCATATATTAAAAATATATTTAAACCCTTCCTTCTTAAAAATATTCATTTTGAACTGGGGACCAGAGGGAGAGGTTGCTAGTCCTTGAGCTGTGGTTCATTTACAAGGATTAGTTTATTTCATTGGGATAGTTGGATTGACAAGTATGAATGAACTTTTTTTTAAAATGAGCAGTAGCCTTTTATGAGATTTCTTTACTCAGTAACCATGCATTATTTGAATTACTCAGAAAATGTTCTTAGTAATTGTAAAGCTGTCTAAAGTCAGGTGAATAGGCCTTATCTTACTGATCCTTCCTTTGTAGCCCTGGCGTAAATAGAAGTATTGACTTAACTTGGTGCTTCATAAGCCACAGTTACAAACAAGGGCTTATATAATTTTACCCTGCCATGCTACCAGCATCCTCTAAAGGTCTTTAGATGAGGAAAGGGTTATACAGATTTGCAAAACATACCTTTATTCTACCTTCTCCTTGTGAACTCTGTAGTTCTTGGTGGCTTTGCTTGTTCCTGATAGGCTTCTACTGAGTTCTCTTCCCCTGGCTGTTGATTGCTAGATGGTCAGACTTTATGTTGTGATTGGATTGTGTGTGATAGGCATGTATTATTAAACTATGTTCACCCAGTTTCCTTTTTATTTTTTGTTTTGAGACAGTCTGACTTAGTACTGAGTTGTCCAAACAGGTCTTAAATTTGGTAAACTATCTTCCATAGCCTCCAGAGTAACCAGGATTACAGGCCCTTATCACCAGGCCTAGCTAGATAGCCAGTCTTAGAGAGGCACTAGGGTCCTTTTAATTGGGTTATTAAAATTCTGACCATTTGCTGGCAATTGATCACAGTCTTTGGAGTCTGTAGCCAGGGGCACTTGTCATTTCTAGCATGGTCCATGTGATGTCTCTGATGTGACTTTTTTTCTTTCTGTGTAGAGTGCCTGGTGAAGAATGTGATGGGATCTCTAGCATGTCTACGGAGAGCGGCCCTGGGACAAGATTGAGAAATCTGCCAGTAATGGGGGATGGACTAGAAACCTCACAAATGTCTACAACGCAGGCCCAGGCCCAACCCCAGCCAGCAAATGCAGCCAGCACCAATCCTCCTCCCCCAGAGACCTCCAACCCTAATAAGCCCAAGAGGCAGACCAATCAACTGCAATATCTGCTCAGAGTGGTGCTCAAGACACTATGGAAACACCAGTTTGCGTGGCCTTTCCAGCAGCCTGTGGATGCCGTCAAGCTGAACCTCCCTGTGAGTAGCTGGGCAGGGCCTGGGCTACCACCACCCTCAGTCTCCTGGTGAAGGCAAATTCTGCATAAGGGTGGAAATGGGTTTAGAGTCATGGTAAGAACTCTGAACACCAGTATTCGCGGTGGCCTTTCAGTGTATGGTTATAGCAGTCCTGAAAATCAAAAAGAAAAAGAGAAGCTAACTGGCTTAGACATACTATTTCTTAGTTAATTGGTACCCCAGTGAAAGTTGTATGGGAAGAGATTAAAATAAGGTGAGCTGAAGTCAGAGTTCCAGCTAGTAGTCCAAGCCCCCCCCCTTTCTCTAAGCTGTGGTTGGTCAGTCTGTGTAGAAAGGGAGCTGATTTACTGCAATAGCAGTTACTTGCAGCACCACTAAAGCACTGCCAAGCTAGTAAAGATATTGGAGCATCTCCCAGAGAACGTGGTTGAAGGGGACTGTGTTATATGTCCCCTAGAGATATTACACTTCCTATCGCCCACCAGAACATACTTTATCTTGATTTTTCCCTTCCTCCCTCCCCTTTTCCCCCCTCCCCTCCCTTCCCTTTTTTCTTCTTTCCGGATGTCCCATTTGTATACATCCCTAGCAGACAGCTCTGTAATCTGAACTACTTCATTGAACCTCGGGGAGTGGTTGGAACAAATGTGTTCATCTTTCTAAGTTGCTCTCTGAAATGTGTTGTTTTCATGCCCTCCTGGCAAATGTGTTATGTGGTAGTAGCCATTATCCAAGTTGGTTCTTTGAGAACTAGAACTCTTCATGTGTCTTTAGTCTCTGCCAGATGTTCAGGTTCTTCAAAATGCGAGACCTTACCCTGGCCTGTCTTGAAAACCGTAACTGTGTAACTGTCCACCAAATACATCTTCTGACCTTAGGAGACAATCACAGCGGCATTCTTAGATCAGATGGGATAGAAGGAACTGGAGGAGGTGGAAGGTGGGTTCCATAAACTTTTAAAAGAAAGGCCTTATGGAAAAGAGAATTGCCAGCAGACAGCAGTCCCCAGATTTCTACGGAGAGACAAAATGTGGAGGGTCTTACACTACCATCCTGCTGGCTGTAGGAAGATGTGACACAGAAGTTGAAGCCAGATTTACGATTATGTGAGCAAGATAGCGAGGATGTGAGACCACTGTTTGAAGAAGCTAGAACAGAAGGTCACTTTGTTATAGGAAGAAACAATAGGGGCAGAGGCACAGAGGCCTCAAAAGGCAGAGTCCAAGGCAGGGGATTGCCGGGGAACTCAGGCGAGGAGGTTACAGGGATATCCTGACTAGTGAGTATCGTGTGGTAGGTGAAACTTGAATCTGTCAAGTGCAGAGACTGGAACTCGTGAAAGTGTGCTAGAATTTCCCTTAAGGACAGAGTCTTGCATGTCCCAGACTGGCCGTGAACTTGTTACCTAGTCTAGTCTGGCCTTTGGGCTCCATATCATCCTACCCTTACCTTCTAAGTTCTAGAATCCCACTGATTTTCATGTCTTCAAAGAAGGACTGCTGGGCAAGAGTGATCTTAAGACCTTTACTCTAAGTAGACCTGGATCTAACCAGCTGGTGGCCTAAGAGCTAATACTTCTCAGGAGCTATTAGAGCTATCTTCTAGTTCTACCTTTTGTATTATGTGTTTATGTCTTCACGTGTAATTTTGACCTTTCGTCCTACCTTAAACCTACTCCCTTAGCTCTCAGTTCCTTTTTATCCCCCTGCTCTACTGTTGTCCTTTTTACCCTTGAACGACTTGCCAGTCTGCAATGGAGGTCCAGATACTATTCCCAGAGTTTTGTTCACAAAATGAAATCTGTCCAGATTTCCACGGGGGTTAATTAATTGGTCATTAGTTCTCTAGGGAAGGGAGGAGGCCTAATGAAATAGGTTTAAAAGTCTGGTTTTGAGTTGCCTTTTGGTATGGTTGTGCACATGTAGCCCTTACCAGAGCAGAGCACCTGTATGTGTCTCCTCATACATGGATAATAGTGTCCTTTTCTTTATGGGTGTTGGCACAACTCAAAACCTTATTGCCCACTTTATTTCTGGGACAGTATCTTGGTGCTCTCCTCTGTCCCTCAGTCCCTTTTAAAAAGGCTGCATGATTTGATTTCCCTGATACTTACTTAGAATGAAAGGATATTTTACACCCTGAAAGAGATTGGGAACTTGTAAGGCCCCACCCACTCCTACCTGAGGAGGTAAAGACAATTGATGGCTGCTAGGGGAAGGACAGTCAGTTTTCTTTGGGGATATGTCCACAGGGAAGTTACTGGTGCTCCTGATGGTCCTACCCGTGTACATACAGGCAGCACTAATTTGACTTAGTGATTTTTTTTTTTAAAAAAGGATAAAAAGGAGGCGTGAATGAGGGGACTAGGAAATGAGGGCAAATATGATCAAGATGTATTGTGCATATACAAAATTATCCACCCCTCCCTCTTTTCCTTTCTTTTTTTTTTTTTAGTTAAAAGTATTTGCATTTGTTTTTCTTTTGAAGACGACCTGTTATGTTGTACGTTTGCCATCTAGTGTTTAGGAATCTCTCCTTTACCCACTTTACCTTTAGTTCCTTACTGATACCATGAAAAAATCTTTGAGTGTGGTGAGAGAGGGGCTTAAGCATAGGTAGGCCAGTCCAGCATGATGACTGCTCAAGTGACTCTGGCCTTCTTTGATCTGTTTCTCAGGATTACTATAAGATCATTAAAACACCCATGGATATGGGAACAATAAAGAAGCGCTTGGAAAACAACTATTACTGGAATGCTCAGGAATGTATCCAGGACTTCAACACTATGTTTACAAATTGTTACATCTACAACAAGGTGAGATGTGGCGAGGGGCAGGGGTCCAGCTTGGGAATGAGAAGAAGTAAAAATGGGACACTTGTCAGGATCCTAGGGGCGGGGTTGCTGGGAGCAACTGGGCTGTAAATATGATAGTAAGATACTTGCAGAAGTAGGGTGATGGGACCCGTGTGTAGGACAGGGTGTAGGAGGGTACTATCCTTATTAGCCTGAAGTGCCTGCCTCTAGTACTCTGGGGATTTTATTTAAGTTCTTGAGCATGTCTGATAGAGAACGTAGGAGGACAGACGACACTAGATGGTCTATTGGGATGGTGTAAATTGGTAGATGAAAGAACCTGTGCAACTAGAGTCTTAAATGTTTTGTACAGTGGGGTTAATTGCAGACCCCCACCTATTCTGTGGGTCACAGTCTCCTGGAACTGTGGACATGGCCATAATGAGTGTCCCCCTGGTCTTGCATATAGACCCAAGGGTCACTTCCTAACCCCATAGCCAAACATTTCAGCTCGGCTATGCCATGAAGCCAGATCATTTGCCAAACGTTTCGGCTCGGCTATGCCATGAAGCCAGATCATTTGTTTACAGTTCAGGCCACAGATGTGATTAAAACCAACCCTTTCAAATAGAACGACTCTGGAGGGAGACACTATACAGAACTCAGCTTTTGACCTCTGCTCGTGTAGTGGGTAAAATTACCCAGAAGAGATGGGTAGGTGAGTTTCTTGAAGTTTACTGTGTTTTGTAAAGCCTTAGTTCTCACCACTCAGGTGAATAGCAAAATGTACAGATGAGACCCTTAGTTGAGAGCTGAATGGGGACAGCATGTTTTGGACTTGGTGATTAGCGTGGGAGTCCATAAAGGCATTGTGATAAAGGCTTCATCCAATCCCCAATGAGCTGCTTCTAGGGTATATTGGGGAGCATCTCTGGAGCCCTAAAAAGCATTCGTCACAAGAAATGCTATGTAATTTATTTCTAGTGAATTGATTTGAGTTGCATTTGAAGAAACCCCAAAGTAAAGGGGCCTTCTATAGAGATTAACCAAGTTGGTAGGTACATAAGACACAAAGATGGTTTCTTAGAGCTTAAAACTGAAAGAAATACAGTTGGAGAGGTCTTGTTAGGGTTACCTAGTAGCATAACCTTTATGGCCCCTTGGAATCTGGATACAATCAATGCTCCATGTGTTGGGGCATGGGGGTGGCCTTGGTGTCCTGTCCACAAAAATGGGAAGAAGGGTCCTTCCAGCTCTACTCCACCTGTTTCCTCATCCAGCCTGGAGATGACATCGTCTTAATGGCAGAAGCTCTGGAGAAGCTCTTCTTGCAAAAAATAAATGAACTGCCCACAGAAGAAACTGAGATCATGATAGTCCAAACAAAAGGAAGAGGACGAGGGAGGAAAGAAACAGGTAGGGTATTTGAAATAGCAAGTAAATCAGCTGTTTTCTCCCTTGTCTTTGTCTATTTTCCAAGTTTAGAAGAATATCAGGGATTAGAGGGACATAGGTGGTGATAGGAAATATTGGAGTGCTGTTTGAACAGGATGGGTTTAGTTTCAGTATTGCCTATGTTTTCAGGGGTCTCACGAATCTGTCGTCCCCCCCCCACTCCCCCCTGGCAGAAGTCACTGGGCCCTGAGTGGTTGACGGACTTAGGTAATAAAGAAAGCACTGTTTGAATTCTTCACCTTTAGTGTTGTAGATTAAAAAAAAATCAAAAACAAAACAACAACAACGAAAAAACCTATCGAGTTTCATCCTAGCCCTGCTATTCCATTTTAGAATAAAGAAGTTAACCTGACCAGTGGGTATTGTAACTAGTGTCCCAATCCTAAAATCTTAAGGTTTATTATCTGAGTTGCTAGTTATGTTTGCCTCTGATGTGCAGTCATTTGAAGCCAATAACTTACTCTACTCCTTGTCTGTCTGCACATTCTGCCTCCTCTATGTCTATGTCCTTTATGATTCTGAGCTGCAAAAGGGTGATGGTTTTCAGATGACTCCTGGAAGTGAGTTTGCTTCTTTGTAGAGATGTTTTTAGCTTGGCCTTCCACCTTGCTCCAAAGTGGCAAAAACACACACTAAATCCAATGTAGCTCTTGAAATAACCAAAGAAAACCAGTCGCTCACGTGGATGCTCCCCTTCTACCCTTCTTCCCTCTCCACCTTTTAGACAGGGTCTCTATGTTAACTCAGACTCTTTTTCTTCATGTCTCTTGAGTATTGTCATTACAGATGTACACTATGATGCAAAGCCAGGTTATTCTTTTGGCACATACACATAATAAGTCACATTCCTTACCCATACATTCAGAGTCTACCCCTCACTTTTTGGGGATCAGCAGTTAGGATTCTTTGTACACAGGGCAGGCATGGAAATGTCTGGATGAGACCCAAGCTTGGTGACTAGATAATAAAATTGGGAAACTCAATAGATCCTTTTCCTCTTGCTCTTCATATGGTACCTCAACACACTGCTCTAGGGCAGCCATAGCTGCAGAGTGCCTTTTCTTTCCTTTTTTCTCTTCTCTTTCCCCACTTCTTCCCTTTCTTCCTAAGATAGGGTTTATATTTGTATATCCTGGGTTGGACACAAACTCTCAGTCCTTTGTACCTTGGCCGCCTCATTGCTGTGATTACAGGCTTTGAAAACTAACTTTTATAGGGTGTTGGGTTCTCTTTCCACAGCATCCAATGTGTAGAGGATGTGGCAGTATGGGGTATAGTCCCTGGTCCATCAGCTCACATTTGAGCTGTAGTTACAAACCTTTGTTTTTTATGCTGATTTGGTATGCCATGTGTACTTTGTGTTGATGCACATCATCAAGGAAACAACCTGGGTTGTCTTGAGAGGCAAAAATTGTATACTAATTCTAGTGGCTTTGAGAGTTGAAGTCATGCTAGTTTCTGAAGAAACCTTGCAAGTTTGGCTGCTAACCTCAACCCTGGGGAAACAAGGATACATTTGGTGCGTAGTGATGTCTGGAATGTTCAGGATGGTCTTAATCACTAAAGCAAATGTTCCACATAAATATGTTTTGTCAGGGTTAGCAAGTGTATCCCAGAATACCCTTTAACCTCCCACTTCTTATGATTGGTAGGGACAGCAAAGCCTGGTGTATCCACGGTACCAAACACAACTCAAGCATCAACTCCTCCGCAGACCCAGACACCTCAACAGAACCCTCCTCCACCTGTGCAGGCCACAACTCACCCCTTTCCTGCTGTCACCCCAGACCTCATTGTTCAGCCTCCTATCGTGACAGTGGTGCCTCCCCAGCCACTTCAGACGCCTCCACCAGTACCCCCCCAGCCACCACCCCCACCTGCTCCAGCTCCACAGCCTGTGCAGAGTCACCCACCCATCATCGCAGCCACCCCACAGCCTGTGAAGGTGAGCATCCTGGGCACTGGTGAACTGCTGCCACCAGAGATGGGCTTGAAGGAGACAGGTAGTTTCTTTTAGTTGTTCCTTCTGTGGGCTCTGTGGGCAAGACCCTGGTATTAAACAGGAAACCTCTTCAGTAGGTTCTGTGGCCCCTAAAGGAGCAAATACTCAGTTTTGTGCTTTTCTGTTTCTGTCTTGTCCTGTCCTGGCTTTGAAAAGCAGTGGTATGACAGGGTCTCTGTGCAGTTACTTTAGGACCTGTCCTGAGCTGGGAGCCTAGTCAGGGCTTGGTTTCAGAGGTGATCTTGAAGAGCAACTGTACTGGCCAGAGCCTCTGATTGAGCCTTTTGTGCCTGTGCTCATGGCAGACAAAGAAAGGGGTGAAGAGGAAAGCAGATACCACCACCCCCACCACCATCGACCCCATTCATGAGCCGCCCTCACTGGCCCCAGAGCCCAAGACCTCCAAGCTGGGTCCTCGGCGGGAGAGCAGCAGACCTGTGAAGCCCCCAAAGAAGGACGTACCGGACTCACAGCAGCACCCAGCACCAGAGAAGAGCAGCAAGATCTCTGAGCAACTCAAGTGCTGCAGTGGCATCCTCAAGGAGATGTTTGCCAAGAAACATGCTGCCTATGCCTGGCCCTTCTACAAGCCTGTGGATGTGGAGGCACTGGGTCTGCATGACTACTGTGACATCATTAAACATCCCATGGACATGAGCACAATCAAGGTTAGCCACCAGGTTCCTGGGATGGTGGGCAGAGAAGGATTTCTCTTAGACCAACCCAATAAATCTGCGGGTGTCCCTGCAGGACCTTGTTGAAACACACACTAACCTAATATACTCGGCCATTTTGTTTTAGGTAGTGGTTTTGCCTCTTTTTTGTATAAGGAGATGTAAGATGCACACTCTGAGACTCTCTCAATGCCACTGTGCACCTGGCAGATGTACTAAGAGACTTTGGGTGCTCTGGGTTTAGTGTGATGGGCAAGGCTTTGCTGTCTTCTATGTAGGAGACACAGCACCATCTACCAACATCTTTATCAAAATATTTTTAAGGCTTTTTTTCCTTCTTTTTTTAAAATAATTATTTTTCTCTTACAAGTAGAAGAACATTACTCAAACAGGAAACAATGCTGTGTTCCTTGAACTAAGTTCTATTCTGTACCTTCAAAACAAGTACATACAAAATCAGAACTGGATCCAGTCTTTTTAATCTTCTCATCAGCTTTGGCATAATCTCTTCTGGGGCTCTGTGTGTTCAATTTCCCTTTAGACCTTAGTGACCTCAGTAGGTAAGCTTGGTGCTAAGAGGTCATTTCCTAGCTCTGTGACTTGACAGTCTTTTTGTCTCATACTGAGAATTGGATTGACAGCCTATTGTCTGTGTCCCCCTCTCTCCTCTCCTAGCCAGGATTAAACTGAGGACCACTAAGAGGCTACCTTTATTTCCACAAACATCACCGTGGCATTGTACACTCCACCCTCCTTTATTTAGAACAGTAACAGACATGGCTAACTAGGATCTATCTTATATTTCCAGTCTAAACTAGAGTCTCGTGAGTACAGAGATGCCCAGGAATTTGGTGCTGATGTCCGATTGATGTTCTCCAACTGCTACAAGTACAACCCCCCTGACCATGAAGTGGTAGCCATGGCTCGAAAACTCCAGGTGAGGCTCTGAGAATGATAGGCCATACCTTATATGGGCCTGGGCAGATCGTAATTCTGTTATTTCACTCATAATAATGCTGCGGGACTGGGGAGGAGGTGTGTTGTTGTTTGCTTGTTTGGTTCTTTTCTCCTCCTTCCTTTCTTCCTTCCTTTGTTTTCTTTTTCTTTTTTGAGACAGCATCTCTCTTATGTAGGTCTGACTGTCCTGGAATTCAGTATAGACTAGGCTGACATCGAACTAGCAGAGCTCCCCCGTCCAACTCTTCTGAACAACATACGTAACAACTTAAGTAATGGCATATATACATTTTAAGTCAGGGTTGTTAAAACTAAAATAGGGTGGCTGGTTTTGTTCCCACTGGAAGTTCTTTCTCCCTTCTCCATCTACATTCAGTTGCTCTGGTGTTGTGTTAAAAAAACATGCATGTTGTGCCTGGCCCCAGTCTCTCCAAAATAGAAGAGACCTAGCTGTCTTAAGTGTGCAAGGGCACTCCCAAATGTAGACATTTTGCCACAGTTGTATTCACATGTGAGCCAGAGTAGTGGGGTATTTTTCCATCAGCCTTGGAAACCTTCATTTGCCTTTTAGTTGCAAAGTGGCTGTTTATATGTTGGTTTGTGTGGTCATAGATCCTAACGGATGTAGTTCCCATGCTCTATTCTTAAAGTTAACAGTTCTGAAGAGTACACGAATTGAATGTGTGAACTACTTCCTCTTTTCATTTGTTTATGGACAGGGTCACGAATTGAATGTGTGAACTACTTCCTCTTTTCATTTGTTTATGGACAGGGTCTCATACTGTACCCCAGGCAGGCAGGCCTCAAACTATCAGTAATCCTATTGTATCAGCCTTCCAGTACTGGGATTATAGATGTGAGCCACTGCAACTGGCTTTTCTTTCTTCTTCTCTTTCTCTTTCTCAGCAACCTGGAGGAGACTTTAAGTGGGTTAATGGTGGTTAAAATTGGAGAATAAAGGCAATATTTAATACCTTTATAACCTGCCTTTTACTTATTATTCTTAATTTTATTTTTATGTATGTGTCTGTATGCCATGTATATGGGTACCCACAGAGGCAAGAAGAGGACACCGGATGCCTTGGATTTGGAGTTAAAGGGAATTATGAACTGCCTGACGTGGGTACTGGGAACTGAACTTGAGACCTGTAAAGTACAGTCTTACTGAGCCATCTCTTCAGCCTCCAGACCTGCCTTTTTTAAAGGAAACATATAAGATCATAATTCCCAGCCATTTCTTCCTTAGTGCATTGGTTGCTATTGCTCTCGGGTCAGTGGTCTGTAGGCTGAGCAACCTGCTGTTAAGAGACACAGGTATGTTGATTGTAGATCTCAAGGTTTCCTTAGGTCTTGTAGCAGTCTCTAGGTACTTTCAGGCCAGAGATAAGAATTTGCAAAGCTTAAAAAAAAAAAAAGAATTTGCAAAGCTATTGGTGACTCATTGGTCTTTGTCACACAGAGACCATTTCATTCCCAGGATTCCTTGCCTTCCTACTTCTGTTGGCTTCACTTACATGCTACATGATATCAATAGCTTCTTTTTTCACCAGAATTTCGACACTTCAATCATTTGCCTTCGGTGCAGAGAACTTTTCAGTTTGGACGATAGCTTGATAGGATTGTTGTTAGTGTTGAACTGGCTCTTAAAATTCAAGTGCATGCTCGGGCTAGAAGGATTTTTGTTTTGTTTTGTTTTGAGTTGTTTTACATTTATGTATATAGGCGTTTTAACTGCATGTCTGTGCAGGCCAGAATAGGGTAGCAGATTGACTAGTCGGAAGTTGTGAGCTGTCAGTCACCTTGTGGATGCTGGGAACCAAACCTAAATCCTCTGTAAGAAGAACATCCAGTGCTTTTAACCACAGAGCCATCTCTCCAGTGCCCGGAAAGTTGTTATTTCTGACTTGCACTGGGGTCTAGTGTTTCCTCATCAGTTTGGTGCTAATCTGTCATTTACTAGTCCTTATGGAATTCAGGCTTTTTAGTTTTACTATAATTCTCTAAAAATTTTTATTTATTAGAGATATTCATTGTATATCTCTGGCTAGCCCTAACTCTGCCTTTTGAGTGCTGGGATTAAAGATAATGCTCTACCCTACCCAGCTGTCTGCTATTCTTAAACAAGTCCACCAAGTGGCAATGTGCCTTCAGACTTGGAACTTAGGTCACCTCATCTCCTACACAGTTTCTTGAAGCCAGGGCCAAGATTTGATATCCGTGCTGTTTACTTGCCCCCATTTAGGAAACTGCAAAGCTCAAAAAAACTCAAAGCCTAGAAAAATGCAACTTCATTTATTTCTTTATTTGGTTTTTGAGACAGGGTTTCTTTGTGTAGCTTTGGAGCCTGTCTTGGAATTGCTCTGTAAGTCAGGGTGGCCTTGAACTCACTAAGATCTGCTTGCCTCTGCCTCCTGAGTGCTGGGATTAAAGGTGTGCACCACCTCCCTGCTTTGAACTACTTTATTAAAGAGGGGAAAGAAAAAGGAACCATTGTATTATTCATCTAGCTTTCCTTTTTGGATTTTTTTTTCCCCTGTCCTGGGATCTTGCCAATACTTCCTCTTTGCAATTTCTACTTCTCTGAAGGCCCCCCCCCTTTTTTGCTTTACATTTTGGTGTCTTGTTTAAGGACTGTGTGTGTGTGTGTCTGTCTGTCTGTGTGCTTATGTGCCTGTATGCCTTTTTCTTCTTAGTGTGTGAAGTTGTCCAAGCATGTCATTTCAAGTCACATTATGATCACCAAGCTATTTGCCACGTAGCAGCCTCAAGAGATGAGTTCTTCCTAAGCATTGTCTTGATAACAAGCTCAACTTAGATAAGATGCCGACTCAAGAAGGTCTACTTGAGGCAGGGGTGGAGGTTCTTTGCCAATATTTCTGAAAGTAGCATTATCTTTTGCCAGGGAGTTTTTCTTCTGGAAAGCAGTTGTGTTTGTAGAATCTTTGTGCTTTGTGTTTTTCTCTAAATGCCCCCTTATTAGAATGCTGTAAGTGGTTAGAAAGGGGCCCACAAAACTTTCACCCTTGCTTACCTCGTTAAGAAATGCTGAAGGGATGAAACTGGAGAAATGACTAGGTGGTTAAGAGTGCTTTCTGTGCATCATGAGGACTAGAATTTGGATCTCAATGCCCATATAATAAACCAGGCATCCTGTACATTCTTGTAACCCCAATTCTGAGGGGAATGGAGACAGCAGAATAACTAACCCTTGCTAGCTTCTTACTCAAGAAAACATAAGCCCCAGGTTCTGGGAAAGGCTTTCTTAAGGAAATGGGTGAGTGATTTAGGAAGATACCTGATGTCCTCTTCTGGTATACAAGTGTGCACACACACCCCCTCCCCATAAGTATATATTCACACAGGCACATACACTCAAAAACAAAATTTTTAAAAATGAGTATTGAGATCCACTTTGGTTTCTTAATTAGGTTGTGCTACAAGAGTAGAATTTACTTGGAAAAGTAATGTAGAAAAGGATCCATCTACTTCATTTTTGGGTTTGTACCTACATCTCTGATTTCTGGACTGGTTCATCTGAGACCATTTGGACAGACAACCTAGCGTCTGAATTTGACTGAAAGGACTTTTATGCTTTTGTTTTGTTTATATGAGATGGTTTCTCTTTGTCGCTCTGGCTGTTCTGGAACTTTCTCTGTAGTAGACCAAGATGACCACAAACTCAGAGAGCTTCATCTGCCCCCTTTTATCTTTCCATTATGCATCATGTACAGCCTGGGCTAGGTAGGCTACTTAATATTCTAACACACACATACACACAAAATACTTGCTCTAAAACCATTGGACTGCGATGAGCAGAGGAGGATGTCATGTCCACTCTAGACATGGAATTTTAGGGCAGGTTGTAACTGAACCTACCTTGAGCTCAATAAGAGATCTGATTGTTATATTCCTTTTGGGTGCTATTGTTACTGCTCCTGAAACCATTGTCTTCCTGTCACTGCCCCATTACAGCCATCTATGTTCTCTTCTTGACCTAGTTGTTCTCCTGAGTGAGGTTCTACACATCTTTTCTAGTCGCTCCTAATTCTTTCTGCTCCCTTGCTGTTTCCTCTTAGTGTACTGCTTTATGTTCAGTGATGGTCCTGCTCTTTAAGGGTCTCAAGGTCGTCTTCCCACAGCTCTGTGTTTTCCTGATGCTTCTACCTCTAGTAGAGCAGGATTCCTGGGTCCCACAAAAAGAAAAGGATGAGTCATATAACTGAACATGTTTTGGAAGCCAGTAGCTCTATTTCTGCTTGATGCTATTTTTTCACCTTGACCAGCTTCTTGTCACGTGTTACTTGTTATTTGGTCTCAGTCTTGGACAAGTCAGAGCACTTACAGAATGGAAGGAACCTCAGAGTGCTGTTCACCCTACTTGTGTCCATAACAGCCAGTTTTGAAAAGAAGGGAAATTTCTCTATGGTAAAGGGTATTTCAAGGGCTCGAGAAATGGCTTAGAGGTTAAGAGTACTGGCTGCTCTTCCAGGGGTCCTGAATCCAATTCCCAGCAACCACATGGTAACTCACAACCATCTGTAATATGATCTGGTGCCCTCTTCTGGCCTCCAGGCATACATGGAGGCAAAATGTTGTATATATAAGAAATAAATCTTTAATTTAAAAAGAAAATTCAAGTTGGCCTAGGAAGGGTAGATATAGATACAAGGCCTGATACAGCTTTCCCTTGAGTCTTCCCTGTGTTCTGGGAAGGAGAATTGATCATTTCCCTTACAGAGTCCTGGCACTTATTATATTGCTCTGGTCTTTTGTTTTTCGTTCTTTTGAGACAGTGTATCTGTACTTTGGAGACTGCCCTGGAACTCATATAGACCAGGCTGGCCTTGAACCCACAGAGGTCCACCTGTCTTTGCCTACCAAGTTCTGGGGTTAAAGGCACATGCTACCACTGCTCAGCCCTAGGCCCGTCTTAACAGACACCTGTGGCTCTAGCTGCATGTGTGCATATGTGTCTGTGTCGGGGGGTTGGATTTTGGAAACAGGTTTTCTATGTAGCCCTGACTGCCTTAGAATGTACTCTGTAGACCAGCCTAGGATTTAGAGTAAAAGATTTATGCCACTACCGCCTGACTGCTTTTTGAGGGGCCATAACCTATCTGTGTTAAAGATACTGAGTAGTGGATTGAGCTTCTGCCACATGGCAAGTGTTTTGGGAATAGGAATCTTAGTTGTTTCAGTAGGGACCTCTGCTTTGGTTTGACACCCCTTTCTTACATGGTCTTCTGTCTCGTCCAGTGCTGATCACCTCCTGTTGTATACATTTCACCAGGGCTTTGCTCTAATTTATTTCTAATTAAGAAATTAGTGCATGCCTAATACTTGATCAGCTACACTTACACAGAACAGAATGCCAGATAAGACCTTAGTGTGGGAGAAGGATGCCAAGCTTTACATAATGGTATTGCAAATGTGAGAAACAGTACCATAGTTACATGGATACCTGCTGTAGAGGACATCTTCTCCTAGATGCCTGTTTATGGAGCTTTCAGGACAGGCATCTGGAAGAAAGTTGAGTGTTTCCTGAGTGTTAACTTTAGTACTTAGCCACCACATCTCTCACAGCAAATACACAGATGTGTGTGCATACTTGCTGTGGAATAATCCTCCTTTACACTGTTACTATGTCACTATGGTTGCTTTAATAAGTAACCTGTCTCGTCAGTAGCTAAACAGGATAAAGTTAGGCAGGACAATCAAATCGAGAATGATGGGATGAGGAAGTGTGGAGTCATAGGAGTTGCCAGCCAGCTAGAGAACAAGTCAGACAAATAGGACAGAGATGAAAGCCACAAGTGTTGAGGCAGCACATAGATTAATAGAAATGAGTTAAGTTGTAAGAATGAGTTAGTGACAAGCCTGAACTATTGGCTGAACATTTGCAGTAAATATAAGTCTCTGAGTGATTATTTGAGAGCAGCTGCATGACAGGAAAACTCTTGACTACACACACACATCTTTTGAAGCAGGGACACAGAAAAAGGAATGTTCCTTCAGTGTGAATTGCTACACCTATCGTTTTATTCTTTTATTAATTCTTTGAAATTTTAATACAATGTATTTTGATCATAACATGCCCTTCTCCTTCTCTTCTCTTAATTCCTCCTAGATCTATCCTTCATTTTATTTCATTCTTAAAGAAGATCTTTCTGGGAAGCCTGCCTTATTCCTTACATGTCTGTTCTGCAAGTCGTCATTGAATTGACTGTGGAGTCTCCACCATGGGTGGGTGGGTGGGTGGGGTCTGCTAGTTGGTTTGCTGCTTGACTTGATCCCTGTGAGCGAAAGCAAGGGGTACTGCTCCATGAGTTGTATTATTACTCCATGTAACTCTCAGCTGGTCTTGAGAGTCTCTTGAAGTTAGTTGCTGTGCTCAAAATTACTGGCTTCTCTTTTAGTTGATTATTACCACACAAGATACTCCTCCTTCCTAATACCTGTCATAAACATCCCATTCCACTCCCCAGCATTGCTGGAGGTGCCTGAGCCGAGGGTTTGTATCTGCTCAATTAAGCGTACATGGATCACGCTTGAGTTACAGCAAGGCAGATGCAGATACGTGAATTCTGCCATGAATGCTCAACTCAGAGCCTTTGCCAGTACTGTTTTCTCTCTTTGGGAAGGCCAGCAAGTGCTCCTGTCAGACAGCTACAGGCCTGATAGAAGACTCACGGGCATGTTTTCTGAGTAGTTTTGGTTGTGGCCTACTGCTTACTGAGCACCTTCAAACTAATGTTCTCAGACTAGTCTTTCACCTGACTCTCTGTATATCCTCTAGGGAATGAATGCTCAGCCAGATCAGGACTGGTTGTAATGCCTTGTGTGCTTGAGCACGTGTGCGGGGATGGGGCTATCCTATAATCTCTTACTTCTTGTTGATTTGGTCGAAGAAGCTCTAAAAGCTGAACATCCTCATAGGCATAGCTTTTCCTCCATAGGATGTGTTTGAAATGCGCTTTGCCAAGATGCCTGATGAGCCTGAAGAGCCAGTAGTTACAGTGTCCTCCCCTGCTGTGCCACCCCCTACAAAGGTGGTGGCCCCACCCTCATCTAGTGACAGCAGCAGTGATAGTTCCTCTGACAGTGACAGTTCCACTGATGATTCTGAGGAAGAGCGAGCCCAGCGGCTGGCTGAGCTCCAGGAGCAGGTAAGAGAACCTGTGGTTCTATGCCCCAGAGGCCAGGGTAGTTTCTCAGGTTTCCAAGAGATGTTCTTGATTCTGCTTTTTCAAAAATTCCCTTGTGGCATTTCCTCTTAGTCAATGGAATGTTAATCCTGTGGAAGTACGGGCTCTGTGTTTAAGTAGGACTCAGGCATGATATTTTCTGGACACATGGGCTTCAGAATCCTGAAGCTGCCTGCCTACAGTAACCTTAATGTTTGAGTTGGTCACCAAGCCCCAGTATTTCAGTACACTCTTTTTTTTAAAAATATTTGTTTATTTACTTATTATGTATACAATATTCTGTCTGTGTATATGCCTGCAGGCCAGAAGAGGGCACCAGACCCCATTACAGATGGTTGTGAGCCACCATGTGGTTGCTGGGAATCGAACTCAGGACCTTTGGAAGAGCAGGCAATGCTCTCAACCACTGAGCCATCTCTCCAGCCCCCTTTCAGTACACTCTTTACCTAGCTTAGAAACCTTCTCAGAAACATTCTGGGACTAAGATAGCTAGGTAGTTTAGCTTATGTCAACTTGAGAAGCTCCTGTTATAGAGATGTAACAATCCTTGGAGATCGAGTAGTGGGTGGCCACTTTAGGGATCTCATTAATTTGGCAGGTCCATGGCAGCCTATCTTATGTTTCTCCCATGCCCACGGCCTGATACCCAAGCATACACTATTTCCATTACATAGAGCTGTACCCCAGGGTTTAGGTGGGTTAGTTTGTGTTTGCAACAGGTTTCCACTGTAGCCTTGGCTGGCCTAGAACTTATATAGATTTACCTTGCTCTGCCTCCCAAATGAGGGAAGGAGACTAAAGGCCTGTCCCAGTTGTGATCTCATTCATTCATTCATTTATTCATTGATTCACCCATTTATCTATCTATTTATTTATTTGCTTGCTTGCTCCACAGCTCAAAGCAGTGCATGAACAGCTTGCAGCCCTCTCACAGCCCCAGCAGAACAAACCAAAGAAAAAAGAGAAGGACAAGAAGGAAAAGAAAAAGGAAAAGCACAAAAAGAAAGAGGAAGTAGAGGAAAATAAGAAAAGCAAAGCCAAGGAACTTCCTCCGAAAAAGACAAAGAAAAATAACAGCAGCAACAGCAATGTGAGGTATGTGCTTCCCAATTTTTCTGTCTTTGGTAGTGGTGACCCCAGAAACCCATGTATGGTAGGGACAAAGATCACTCTGTTGATGCAGCCACCAGTCCTGGTTGGTGCCCTGTCATAAGCACTTTGCTGTTATTTCTCCCTCTGCTTTTTTCCCTTCATGAACTTTGGTATATCACTGTGTTTGAGTAGAGAGGGTGCAAGTAGCCACCTTGCAACCATAGCAAAGCTTCAGCTCCTGAGGCCTGCCATTATTTCCTGCTGGTCTTTCTGATTGCTAGTAGCCTTAAATTCTATTTCCGGTTGGGTGTGGGCAGTCAACCCCTACCCACCCACACACTTTGGAGGGATGTGTGCACAGCTTCCTCAGGAAACCCATTCTTAACTGTCTGTATCATCCCTTCATAGCAAGAAGGAACCAGCACCCATGAAGAGCAAGCCCCCTCCCACATATGAATCAGAGGAAGAGGACAAGTGTAAGCCCATGTCCTATGAGGAGAAGAGGCAGCTAAGTCTAGACATTAACAAACTTCCTGGTGAGAAGCTGGGCCGTGTAGTACATATCATCCAGTCAAGGGAGCCATCACTCAAGAACTCCAACCCTGATGAGATTGAGATTGACTTTGAGACTTTGAAACCGTCCACACTGCGAGAGTTGGAACGCTATGTCACTTCTTGTTTGCGGAAGAAAAGAAAACCTCAAGGTATACTTGGGAACTCTCTGTATAAGGATCCTTTCTGTGGAAACCCTTAGCCCTTTTCCAACATAGCACTCCACACTTGAAACACCGCTCGCTCATCTCCATCCCCACATATATGAATTCTATACCTTTGCCATAGATACCCAAAGGATGATACCACACTGGATCCTGGTTTGTCGGTTCTTTTCTGGACCTCTTTGGTGGTTTCCTGAAGCCTTCTTGAACCTGTCTTGACAGCAGCTGTTTACTTCTCTGTTAGATAGCCATACAGTCTTTTCCAGAAGTGATCTCCCACCTCTGTTGAAGTGAGGCCAGGAGGAAAGGGGTGCCTGGATGTCCCAGGAATGTGTAATTACGTTAGTTCAGTACTCAGCCCCACTTTTGCAAGCAGAAGTGATGTCTACTACTACCAGCCTTCCAGACATCTCTTCCATTTTATGTATGCTTCACATTGCTGTATACCTTTCCCTCTTAGTGCTAGAGGGTTCAGCTTAGGATACCTGTCAAAGTATTTTTTTATACTGCTTTCTTAGTCCTTAGAACTTTGCTCTGGATCTGCTGTTTAGTGACATTATTTGGGCTTCACTCATGCAACTAAACAGGAAGGAAGGCTAGGAGAACCCTTGAGCTCTTTGCATGTTTTGCTATGCATTGGACATAATACCCTATATAAAGAGTGCCTATTTATCCAAGGCTAGTCGTATATTGTATGAAGAAATTACTGCTCTGCTCGGTCTTCTGAATCCATGAGAAACCATTCAGAGGGTATTATAAGAGAATGATTGAAATTACAGCACAAGCTTTGTTCTAGCTAGTGTGTAGTAGGCTACCATTGAGAACAATGTGTGGCTCTCTGGGTCTGGACTGGTAGAAGCTGTCAAGAACAGTCTATAAGGCTATGGGGAATGTGCTTCCCACTGATCCTCTGGACAGTGGGAGTATGCTGTGGCTAGCAGCAGCTGCCTGGGCAGGTATTCTTTCTGATTCTGGTCTATTTGGGTTACAGCTGAAAAAGTTGATGTGATTGCTGGTTCTTCCAAGATGAAGGGCTTCTCATCATCTGAGTCAGAGAGCACCAGCGAATCCAGCTCTTCTGACAGCGAAGACTCTGAAACAGGTTAGTTGACTCCTGTTTAAATATCTTATCAAACCACCCCACTCATCCCTCATAGTAGTCCTTTGTCCAGGTTGTTCAAGAGCTCAGAGTTGGAGGTCTCTGAGAACTGCCTGGGCCCTGCTGGCTACCCATTCACCATATTAACTTTCTCACTGCAGGGCTAGCAAGACACCCTGTACAGCAGCAGTTTCTTCTTTCCATGAGGGTAGAGGGCAGACCTGAGGACTGTAGGTGTTAAGGTCCCAGTCAACCTTGGTGTGGAATGCTCCTATTCCCCTTTCTATGTTCTGGCATCATAGTTGGCATGGAAGCAGTTTTGGCCACATTGTAGCAGAGAGTAGAGCCAAGTCACCTGAATCTGGCAGCCTGCATAATCAGTCAGCTTTGAGCCCTGGTCTCTAAACCCTGGGAATTGCCATTTTTCTTTTCCACAGTGTGCTCAATGCTGTTTTGTATTGGCTGTTCCTTCCCACCTCTGCTCTATCTGTGCACTAGAACATGTATGTCTTGCTCTTCTCCTGGCCCTTTCTTGTGCTCTTTGGGCCTATACAAGAGTGTTCAGTTCCTGTGTTCTTTCTGAGCAACAGCTGCAGAGCTGGAGGTGGGAGCAGGTGGTAATGATGGGAACAGGTTTTTTTTTCCCCAGATGTATACTTTTTCTTCATTGTTCCCAGAGGAGCAGGTTCTCACATAGGCGTCAAGGGAAAGATAGGGGAAAAGGCATGGTGTATACCTGAGTTGCCTGACACATGACTTGTGTGAGTGGGTTTACCTCTAGGCAGGTCAGGTTCCATCAGCTGAGCAAAGATAAATTACAGTTCACCTAGGAACCAGCCCTAGGGTCTTAATTGTGCTCTACTAAATGTGCTGGTGTGTGTGAGGTTTATAGTGGGAAGAGGGGTCTGTGAGCTTAAACAGCTCTTGTCAGTATTCCATGGAATACTGTGGAATAATGACCTGATTGTTTCAAGGATGGTCAACACTCCCTTAAAGCAGCTAGGATGAACTCTCTTGGTTCAAGTTATTTGCACAGGTTCACCTCTGCCCAAAGAAATTGAGAGTTAAGGGAGTATTTTTGTGGGTCATGGAATAGACTGGGACCTTTCCAGGGGACAGTTCTCTGTACTGCCTTGTTTTTAATTTGCAATGTAATTACTAAGGAAATGTAATCCATTACATCGGTTTGTTCTGCATTTGTTCAACACAGACTGCAGAAGTTACCATGTGCAAAGTGACTGACCTCAGAGCCTCTTCCCTATTCTTTCCCCTTTTCATTCTAACCTAAACACTGGCCTTGCTTCCTTATGAACCAGCAGGGGGAGCTGCATCCTAGCCTTTTGGGAAGCGCTGGCTCTAAGCCACTTTCGGCTTGAACTGGGGCCACTGCCTTCAGTAGGGTGAATGGGGTGAATGAATGTATTCTTGGGGCTCCATTAGCATTCTTGGTGGCCACTGACTTTTCACTTTCATTGCCAGCCAAGCTTCAGATTTGCCTTTCCTCTGGATTTTTTGTGCTTCCTGTATTTTCTAGATCATTCCTCCTAAGATTTTGCGGCCTTTTCTAAGAATCTAAGTAATCAAAAGACAATCCCAGAGACTGATCCTGACATGATGCTGAATAGCATGGCTTATCTTTGGGATATTAGGGAACTCTGACCCCTCACACAAACACATGTTTGAGCTACTGTCTCCATAGCCCTCATCTTTAAGATAAAAGTCCTCCTATGGTCCCACATGGGTGCTGTGCTCCTGTCTTTCCTGATGGCTGCCATAATGACATTTCCAGCAGCTTTCTGCTACTGTTACAGAGAAAAGAATTTTTTTTTCAGCCCGCCTCCTCCCTTAAGTAGAAAGCTTGTGCAACAAGTAATCCGAGAGTCCTGGGAACAGCTGTCCTGGCGGGAAGGAGAGTGAGATTTAAAGTGATGGAGCTATTAACTGGCAGACTTCTAGGCTGTGGCCGTCTAATGCTGACCATTTGTTTGGCTGCCTGGGCTAAGCGCCTCCGTCTTTGCAGATGATGCCCTTCCCACTTTTGTTTTGCTTGCTAGCTCTCTTTTGTCTTCATTTAGGCCACTGGTATTGCCAGTGGAGCAGTAGATTTTTATTTCCTGCTGTGTGCAGAGTGCTATGTTGTGGGATTGTTGACACTACTACTAAGGAGGGACCTGCTGAGCTTTTGTTACAGATCCCCAGATAGGACATACAAACACATACAAGGACTTAGACACGAATGGACACATGCACACACAGTAAATGTCACACCAGTGAAACAAAGCTTTTGTTTCCTCATGCTGCACAGACACTGCACTTTGTGGCATGTAGAGTTCAGGGATGGGCAGATCCTTTAGCAGCTGATTCATGGATCTAGGAAGCCCAGCAGCCCCAACTTCTCTAACAAGTTATTAGTAATTCTACCTTGACAGGAGAGTAGGGCAGAGGTGGAATAGACACTGAAAGTGTTTTCCTTTGGTCTTCTGGGCTTAGTTTATGTCTTCCTTGTTCTTATGTTTCTATTTAAATTGAAGCTAAAATTTCTCAAAGGGCCTATTTTTGTCACATATCACTAAGGGTCAGTTTTACAGGCATGGTTAAATCATGTAGAGAAACTGAAGAGAAGCATTCAGTAGGGGAACCTTTCTACCACAACAAGGTACACGGGGTTAGACCACTCTGCAGATGAGTGGATGGGATGCTTTGCTAGATGGATTGCAGCCACTATGTATGCCCTTATGTTCTGTTGCAGCACCAGTGACCATCTTGACACTTCCTTGAGCCCAGCTGTTTGTTGTTGGGTTGTTTTTTTTTTTATTATTATTATGTTTTTATTGAGCTTGGTTCTAGCTTGAGTCTGGAACTGCTCAGGGGTTCAGTGTTAGAACAAGCAGAATAAGGCCCAGTTGCCACCTCCCTCCCTCCCAACTTCTAGGAAGTCTTCAGACCTAGGCTGGGCATGCCGGAACAAGACACTGTGGCTCTCCCTTTTCCATTACTCTTCCAGCTGTGGCCATGCAGTCACCAGCATAGGATCAGATCAGCTGTCATGTGGGGTAAGGGATGTCCTAAGATTCTTTTTCAGTTCTCTCATATTGGTGATACCTGGTTCTTCTCACGTATCTTCCACAGGTGTTTATGGGCTTGGGTGGCTACATAGCTTATATTATGTCTGTATACATACATACATACATACATACATACATACATACACACACATATATATGTGTATACATACATATATATATACACATACATACATACATACACCCTCTTTGGTGCCACCCCTGTACTGCACCTCAGCTGCCTGGGGTGGAATGGATTTGGATAGGAATAGTGAAAAGGCTCTGGTACTGTGGATTGTTCATGCAAGAGCACAGTCCAGCTATTTTAGTCTTATTTCCTTTTCCCAGGATTGGAGCAAGTGGGTGTTCCTTAATAGCTCCAGGGTAAAAAGGAATGCATGGTGTTTTGGAAAGGCTGGAGCTGGGAAGTGCAGACAGAGGCCATGAGACACTCTTGGGGCTTTGATCAGGAATCCAAACTCAGCTCCCTGGCCCCAGGATCTTTGAGGGACTCCTTCCAGTCCTATCTCAGGGATATGTTGATCCTGCTGCCAGAGTGTGGCAATTGCTTCAGAAAGGCCTCTCAAGATTGGGTATTATGCAGAGCCAGGTGGCACGTCTAGAAGTCCAGGAGTTATAGTTTGGAGGGATTGGGGCTTCCCTGGGGTGAGGGGCCAGCCTTGAGGAATGTGGCCTACAGTAAGAGGCTGAGTGGGCGGGTTTTTCCCAGGCATGTTCTGGGACTAGGGATTGTTACATCCATAATTCCTGCAGAGGCGCCACTCTGCTACGTGTGGGAACCAGTCCAGGCCCCTCTCTGGAGCAGAAGCCATATTGGATGTCCTGAAAAGGGATGGAAAAGACAAGGCGTTTTCTCTGGCCTCTCCCACCCTTCAACAATTGTTATGTCACCAGTTCCTCTTTATAGTTTCTGCTTTTGTCTTGGGGATATATGGTGGTAGCAGAAATGACTTCGCTCTTTGTCTTCCTCAGTGGGAAATGTTACAATGCAGTGCTGCCTCCTTTGTTGGGACCTTTACTTCCCTAACCACACTATGTGGAAAAGTTGGTTAGCTGATGCTTGGTGACTTTGATATACCTGGGCAGGGGCACCCTCTCACATTCTAATGGGACATCAGGAGTAAAAAAAATACCAGTGCACTCAGGCAGGGCACATATGGAACTCATTAAGAGAAACAGTTGTTCTGTTGAGAAGTGCAGACAGACTTCTACATATACTATGATCTTTGTGTATGCAGATTTATCCATCCCTGCTGAATCAGGCCAGGTAGGAATGGGACTCTTGTTTCCAAGAAGGTTCTCCTGTGCCCTTTCAGTCACTTGGGCACAGAAGCTGGCTTAGCCTGCAATTCTTCTGTTCTTGTAACTTGAACGGTACATTCCACACCATTCTCTCACACTGGTTTCTTTCTCCCTCTATGTAGGTCCTGCCTAATCATTGGACACGGACTCTTAATAAAACGGTCTTCAGTTCCAGATTCCTTCCCAGCGAGCTATAGCTTAAGTCCATTTTCTTCAGTGAAAGGGACAGAACTCCACCAAGTTATGGAATTGCTCAGAGCCCTGGGCCTGTCCCCCTGGGGTGGATTAGTCTTGTTCAGCAGTACACACGTAGTCTCACCTTCAGGAAGGCTGCCTGCCTGACCTGCTGCCTGGGCCTCTCTGTACAAAGACTGCCTGGCTGTCCAGCCCAGCTTCCCTGGTCGTCTGGGGTCCACTGGGTGGGTGGCATCTCCTTGAGGATGATAATCCCCCTCTATGCATACGTGTGGTGCTGCTCTATGTGTGAAGCCTGATTACAGTGTGTTTTCTCTCTTCATCCTTTCCCTCTTTTTTCTGAGACTTCAAACCTTGCAGTGACTTTAGCCTAGGAAAGATATAATTCACCCTGAGGATGAGCATTTTGACCTGTGTGGGGCCTTTAGAGGCCAACTGGTTTCCCAAAGGCTTGACTGACTGACTTGATGAGGTGGAGACTGTGACCAGCTTTAACCTACCCATAGCCTCCTGAAGTCTCCATTGTTCCCATAGAGCACTAAAAGTTAAGTGGTCTGGTGGGCGTTTCCCCAAGTTCTTTGGTCTTTTCTCCAAGTCACATAAGAAAAATACCTTCAAGGCTGCTGATAAGGGACATGCAAGGCCCATCAGGCCCCACTTCCAAGCCCGGTCAGGCTCTGGGAAGTGGGCAAGAAGGATATCATGGCTACTTATGAGAGCCTGCAGTGCTTCTCCAAGTTCCGTTGTCACCCATGTCATTGTCCAAGACCACCATCTTCATCTTCCTATAATGACAGCATTACTGGTTAGATTGGTTAGGACTACATCATCCAAACTTTTATAGAGACAAACCAAAGTAGGCTGGGTTTTTTTGGGGGGGGGGGGTTCTCCTTAAAAAACAAGTATTGGCCCTGACCATTTTTACTCACAAATCTCGCATCTTAGCAGAAAACTACCCAACATTAAAAGGCAACCCCAAGGAATTGCATCTGCATTTTAGCAGGTTCTTTCTGCCCTTTTCTCTTTTAAGATGTGCTTTTACATACTTCTGAGAAGACTGACACATTGGAGCCTGCCTTTTCCTAGGGCTTAAAGCAGGCTGAGGTGGTGCTATGCCCTTTCCCAAGTTCTAGAATCCTTGGGTTGCTTGCTGCCCTATACCTGATATGGCCTTTGGGTCTCAGACTCCCTAGAACATCCAATGGCTCCTCAGTGATACTGCTGAGTTCATAGGCCATTTCAAGTCCTCTGTGTCTAGCTTCAAGATAGCTTCTTTTTGCCAAACAGACTATTTTGAGCTGCCCTTTGGCCTGTGTGTGACGTGTTCCCAGTAAACTTGGCTTGACTGGGATGGGGGGTGGCGCTTCTTGCCCAGATATTCCCACAGGACAGTTGGGAAGCTGTTGGCATTATCTTTCTGGGAAGATTTTGCTATCTTGGACCAAATGATGGCCTGCATTCCCACAGTATCTTGGCTATGTGCTGCCCCTGCCCTTCCCCACACCCTCTATACACAGGGCAACTTGTCCTTTATTTTCTTTACTGTCGAGAATCCCTGGCTATGTGGGCCTTCTGTGTGACAGGAACACCCAGGACCCGTTGAGCTTGAAAGATCTTTAGACTATCAATTGTACTTGGTGCCCTGGGTACGCAGCATCCCACCTACTTTTCCTTATTCCTAGTTTTCTGTTCCTGGGCAATGGGAAGTACCCTTGGAGGGCTTTAGCGTACCAACTGGCTGTGGGGTCCTGATGGGAGCCATCCAGGACAGTAGAGGCTCTGCCCCATATTGCCCTTGCCCTGCCCTTAAACCTTTGTCTCCTTTATTCGAGTGGGACTGGGGTGGAAGAAATCAGTGTTTTAATCAGATTTTACAAGATCATTTTACTTTGTACTATGCCATCCTAATGTAAAGATGGAATTTGTGTTGGAGTTTAAGATTGTTATGGAATAAAGATCACATAGTATTTGAGGCCATCTCCATGTAACTCTTTCTAGAGAGTTTTGTGTGGGGGTGTCTGGGGCTGGTGTGTCATGAAGCTGTATGCTTACTGTCTTGTCTTCTTACTGGCAACCCAACACAAGCATTGGGCCACAGGAGCTTCACGGGAGCCTCACTACGTGCCACTTCACTAGTTCCGCCTAGGTGGGGGCGAGGAGGCTGCCTTGTGCCTCCTCTTCCAGTCTGAAGATGAGTTCCAGAATATTCCTGTGATCTTTCCAATGTAACTGACATGCTTCCTAGAACCCGTGTATCCAACCGCTCTTGCTCCTAAGCCCGGTCTTGTGGACCTCTGCTCATAGGCAGGTGGTGAGGGGTTGGAGCCATTGTCCCTTTAGTGTAAGTGGGCAAACAATGCTTTGTTCAATGTTACCAGACAACAGGCAGAGCCCCTCTCCTTCCTAGGTAGCTCACATTCAGTTCAGCATCTGGGTAACAACTCTAGTGCTTTCCCAGATCACACTTGACACAGTGGTTCAGCTTTATCGCCTAGCTTCTCTATGCTGAGATCCCGTCAAGAGTATACTCAGCATTTGTTTTGAGCAACCTTCCTCCAAAACCAAGTCCCTTTCTCTCCCTCTACCTACTCCACCTTTTTACACTGGAAGTGCTAATAGAGGAGCCTGTCCACTCACTGACTGTCCCAAGGCCCTCCCTCCCACCACTACTGAGTTACTGGCTGTGTCCCCTGCCATACAAATCCTGAGTGAGGTGTCCAACCTTCTCTGCTTCCATACTCAAAGCAACCAAATGTCCTGATTCTATAAATCTTCCCAGCAAACCCCTTTAAAATGTCTTCCCTGTAAAAGGGCTTCTTACCAAGTTTCTTCTTCTGACCCAAGGAGAGCCCTGCTTCCTGGCACGAAGATTTGGAGCTCAGTCTTAGGTTTCCATGTGCTAGGTGTCCTCACTTACTGCCCTTTGCCATTTGTATGAAGACATAGTTTTGACTGCTAGGGTCTTTCTGTGTCTTGTCAGTCCTGCATGGAGTGGCAAACTTGGGCATAAGGTCCCATCTCAACTCCTGCTGGTAACATGCTACACAGCTGGGGCCACGCCCTGCACAGTAGCTTGACGCAGCTATGAACAGAGAGGTAACCTCGATGCTAGCAGTAAGAACTGGTGCTCTGACAAGGTGTTTGGGGTAAGCCTTAGCAAAGAAACAAATCTTTCTTTTGTGACAGAATCTGAAAGGCTCTGTACTATGGACCCAGACTCCAACCTGGTAATTGATAATTGTTTTGTTTGTTAGCCCAGAAGCATTGGCCAAGGTGTTAATCCCTCTCCTGGAATATTCTGCTGGTAAACGTTCCTTATTACAAAGTCTAAGGTGGTGACAGAGGTATGCATCTAGATTTTTAAAAAAGACAGGCACATTCTCATACCTGAAGCACCATACCTTCAGCCTCTTGAAAAGCTAGGGCACATTAACTCTTCCAGAGAAGGGACATGACTGATAATCAGAGAAGGGGGTCAATGCCATCTATTTGGCAGCGAACACCTACCCTGTTTGTTCATGGTCGTTGTGGGGAGGCCATCCTGCTTCCTTATTCCCAAAAGGTGAAACTTTCTGTGTTCTTTTCTACAGAAATTTCCTTGCCCACCCTGTAGCTCTGGTCAGGTCATGCCCTATGCCAATATCACTGATCTTTCTCAGGCCCCGCTTGAACACTCTGAGGCAAAGACCTCAGTAAACCATCTACAAGAGTTCCTAAATTGTTGTTTCAGCTGTGTGGCCCTGAATGGTTGTCCTCGCTTTTTGGAGTGTTGTTCTCAACTGTCCAATACGTGGGTTATTGCAAACATCCTGACTCATTGCAAAACATAGCAGGTTATAGTCTAGAGTGTGCTGACACTACTGCCCAAGGTCTAACTCATGAAATGGGGAACTCTAAGGTAAGGTCTCTTATAATTCAGATTCTGACATAGCCAGGGCCTTGGCTATTTCTGGTGCCTGTGGTCTGGAACTTAGGCATTTTCCAGGCATAGTTCCTTGGGAAAACCACGGAGAGGTGGATAGGTGACACATCCACCCTGATGGCCCAGTGCAGTCCAGCCTTTGTCCTGAGTGCCCTGTATTCTTGTCCTCTTCTGTATCCAAGGCTAATGCATGATTAATTCCCCAGAGTCTCACTACTTTGTCTTCTCTCTGCAGAGATGGCACCCAAGTCAAAAAAGAAGGGACACCCTGGGAGGGACCAAAAAAAGGTATGTGCTTCAGGGGTGTCTCCTCCTAAGGTGTTAGATGACCCACTCAGCTGAAAGGATGCTGTGGATCTGACAACCGACTGTTTTTCATGTCTGACATCAACCTGTGTATCTTTTTGTGTGCCTACAGCATCATCACCATCACCATCCACAGATGCAGACAGCCCCAGCTCCTGTGCCCCAGCAGCCACCCCCACCTCCCCAGCAGCCTCCTCCACCTCCACCTCCGCAGCAGCAGCCACAACAGCAACCCCCACCCCCACCTCCGCCACCCTCCATGCCACAGCAGACTGCCCCAGCGATGAAGTCCTCGCCCCCACCCTTCATCACTGCCCAGGTACCCGTCCTGGAACCACAGCTACCAGGCAGTGTGTTTGACCCTATTGGCCACTTCACCCAGCCCATCTTGCACCTGCCGCAGCCGGAGCTGCCACCTCATCTGCCCCAGCCGCCTGAGCACAGCACTCCACCCCATCTCAACCAGCATACCGTGGTTTCTCCTCCAGGTGAGCCATGACCATCTCTCCCTTTGACACCTTGGTTCTACCACATCATTACCAGGTATTCTAGGCTCCCTGTTAGCGTCAACAATCAAGTCAGTTGCTTCTCTGGGACCTGACTGGCATGTCAGAATATTGTAGTTTTGGGGGCCAGGCATTATGGTAGAAAAGATTGGACTTGTCTGCAGCTCTTGGTTTAGGGCATAGAGGAGACATTCGTTCCCAATAGTTTACTGTAGAACATGGATGGGATGGAGAGATTTGCTCAACATGTTGGCATATTGGTAATCGTCTGTGAATAGGTACCAAAGACCTACAGTGAAGCTTGAAGGTCTGTGCAGGGAACTAGAGGAAGGGTCAGGGACACAAAATATAGGACAGGATGACTGCAAGGAGCCTACCAATTGGTCTTTCTAGAAGCTGTCTTTATTGTGCTATTTGGAAGCTTAGGAAAATTGGAGGAAGAACAGTAAGAGGTCACCATATAAACAATGTCGGGACAGAGCAGAAAAGACAGCCCAAAATCGTAGATAGATAACTAAGGTCTCACTTCCATATTTTTTGTCATTCCAGCTTTGCACAATGCGCTGCCCCAGCAACCATCTCGGCCTAGCAACCGAGCTGCTGCTCTGCCCCCAAAGCCTACCCGACCCCCAGCTGTGTCCCCTGCCCTGGCCCAGCCCTCCCTACTCCCACAGCCACCCATGGCTCAGCCCCCCCAAGTGCTGCTGGAAGATGAAGAGCCACCTGCCCCACCCCTCACCTCAATGCAGATGCAGTTATACCTACAGCAGCTGCAGAAGGTGCAGCCCCCCACACCACTACTCCCTTCTGTGAAGGTGCAGTCCCAACCCCCACCGCCTTTGCCGCCCCCACCCCATCCTTCTGTTCAGCAGCAGCAGCTCCAGCAACAGCCTCCACCACCCCCACCTCCCCAGCCCCAACCACCACCCCAGCAACAGCACCAGCCCCCACCACGGCCAGTTCACTTGCCATCCATGCCCTTTTCTGCTCACATCCAGCAACCCCCGCCACCCCCAGGCCAGCAGCCTACTCACCCACCCCCAGGCCAGCAGCCACCTCCACCACAGCCTGCTAAGCCCCAGCAAGTCATCCAGCATCACCCTTCCCCCCGACACCACAAGTCAGACCCCTACTCAGCTGGTAAGTGGCCTATTTTTTGTACTTGGAGTCTGGAGGTGGGCCTGGTGACTTATTCTGGCAATGCGGTGTTTCTGACTTCAGAGCCAAACTTTGTAGCACTGTGTTGTTGGGAATATCACTGTCCCTGCTTTGTGTTTATCAGGTTGTCTTGCTCACAAGCAGAGATAGCCCAGACAAAGACCTCCCTTGACCTTACTCCTACTAAGTGGAAGCCAGGATCTACCCATTTAAGGTTAGGATAGTTTTCTTAAAGACAGTTTCTCTGTGGAGCCCTGGCTGTCTTGGAACTTTATCTGTAGACCAGACTGGCCTTGAACTCACACAAATCTGCCTGTTTGCCTCCTGAGTGCGAGTGCGTGTGCCACCACCTCAGGGCTTCTCATTCTTGGGACACTTGACTTTCAAATGCTGGTAACCAAAATGCTCTGGCCATCTCTGGCTGGAAAAGGTTCCAGTAAAGTTTGAGCTATAGAATGACATACCTGGACTCGCGAAGCACTGTACATTTACAATGTGATCTGTCTTAGGGTTGAACTAAATTGCGCAGCAAAGCAGGATTGTGACCTCTCTTAGACTCAACACAAGCTGCCAGGTGGCAAGTGAATTACTCCATGTCCCGAGCTGAGAGCAGCTGTTGGTTCTTTCTGGGAAAAGTAGAGTTGGACATGACCACCCATGCAGCTATGCTGTTACTGCCCTGTACAAGGAAGCTGGTGAACAGGTGGCAGAAGAGTCAGCCAGTTCTGGACAGGACAGCCTCCGTCCACTTTCTCTTAGCGTCCTCAGGGCCCCACCCATGCTCCTGTAACCTAGGCACATAAAGAACCTTGTGGGTTGGAACCTAGCTGACAGCTCTGGGATAAAAACCAAATTGTCAGAAACATTCTGTTGGATACCCAGCCAATTTCCCAACACCATCCCTGGACTGCTAAGCCAGCTCTCCAAAGCCATCAACAATACCCTAGACCAAAGTCTTCTGTTGTCCAGGTCAGCCTCACGGTGTTCTTGACGACACTGCCACAGGTGAACTATGGACAAGTGGAGCCAGGGTGCTCGCTTCCAAGGGAGTTTTGACAAGCTGAAAACTCACCCTACTAGACTTTGGTGCTGGCCCAACAATGTAGCCAAGAGTCTGCCACATAGGTGATTTTATGGTCTGCTTTAGGTCTGCCAAATTGGACACCTTAGACTGGAGGAGAGAGGGTGAGATGCTGGAGGAGCTAAGGATTCCTTTGCTAGTATAGTAGCTTAGAAGTGGAACCTGGAGGACTAGTCTGGGCTGTAACTAACTGAGCTATAACAGGTGACAAGGCCCCTTTCTAGCTGGGGTTTATGTGGAGAGCAAACTTTGTGGGAATGGCTGAGATTCAACTTCTCCAGTTCCCCAGATAAGAGGCTCTGGCTCACTAAACTAGCTCAGTTTCCTCATTGGTACAGCTGAGTGTATTTCCTTTGCTAGCATAGAGCTCCCTAGCACTCCTAACCTATGCCAGGTACTTAGGTGGCCACCTTACACCTGTTGCTTAGATGTGGGTAGTAGACTGACTGTGAGCTCTGGGACCTGTTGTACTTGACTTTGCCCAGGTAGAGGTCAGTCCCAAGTTTTTTCTACATTCTGTAGGATGAGCTTGGAAGCAGTATTGGGGGAAGACCATCTTCAACCCAGGGCCTGAGCTCCGTTTCCTCTGCAGCCACACATACTGTAGGGGCCAATGTGGATTATCTGGTTGAGTCTTTAGAATTTGTTTATCTCCCTTGTATAGCCCAGGTAAACTTTAGAACCTTCTGGGGGCTTTTAAAAAGTTCTGGCATGCAGATGCCACATGAGATCTAATGTGCTGGGTTATGTGTTTAACGAAGCTTCCTGGGTAATGCTGAGGTGCAGAAGAATTAAATCTTGGGACTTAGGACTACAGAAAAGTCTTTGGGCATCCAACTTAGGGCATAAACAGGCTCCACATGTTTATGGGACTGGGAATCCACGTTCCCTCAAGGTAGGGTGGTCATGTTCTTACCAGGTATAATAGATACTGTGAGTCTCCAAGCTTGTTTGGGCCACGTGATAGTCTATGAATAGCCTGGCCTTTCTTTCATTACTGTTTTCTCAAGGCACAAGTGGCTAAGGGCTAATGGTCTATATACTAGCCCCAACACAGTTCTTGTCTTATTTCCTAGGTCACCTTCGTGAAGCCCCCTCTCCACTTATGATACATTCCCCTCAGATGCCACAGTTCCAGAGCCTGACTCATCAGTCTCCACCCCAGCAAAGTGTCCAGCCTAAGAAGCAGGTAAAGGGCAGAGCTGAGCCACAGCCCCCAGGGCCAGTCATGGGCCGAGGCCAGGGATGCCCACCTGCCTCACCGGCTGCCGTGCCTATGCTGTCCCAGGAGCTGCGCCCACCCTCAGTCGTCCAGCCCCAGCCCCTGGTGGTAGTAAAGGAGGAGAAGATTCATTCACCAATCATCCGCAGCGAGCCTTTCAGCACCTCACTGCGACCAGAGCCCCCCCAAGCACCCAGAGAGCATCAAGGCCCCAGGCCACCTCCCCCAGCGTGAGTGTCCTCCCTGCCTGCACCTGGGACTTGGGCCCCAGACCCATGTTGGTGATGACCTATACTCCATGAGCCACACCTTTCAGGTGGCCCAGACCCACATATTGTTTGTAAATTCTAGGGCCTGAGATGAAGCCTGTAGATGTGGGGAGGCCTGTGATCCGGCCCCCAGAGCAGACTGCACCCCCACCAGGGGCCCCTGACAAAGACAAACAGAAACAGGAGCCAAAAACACCAGTGGCACCCAAAAAGGTAAGGATTGTAGTACTTACTCTGAGGTACTCATCTCATTGAAATAATTTTGGTGAGCATAAGCTTCCTGTCATATCCTGTGCAACAGGTCCTTACCTGGCACCTGATCTCTGCCTCTATAGGACCTGAAAATCAAGAACATGGGCTCCTGGGCCAGTCTGGTACAGAAGCATCCAACCACACCATCCTCCACAGCCAAGTCCTCAAGTGACAGCTTCGAGCATTTCCGTCGTGCTGCTCGAGAGAAGGAGGAGCGGGAAAAGGCCCTGAAGGCTCAGGCTGAGCATGCGGAGAAGGAGAAGGAGCGGCTGAGGCAGGAGCGTATGAGGTGGGCTGGGGTCCATGCAGGGCACTGGGGCTCCCAGGGCCATACTGGGCTCCAGGCTGACCTGGGGCCCCGCTCTGCCCAGGAGCCGAGAGGATGAAGATGCGCTGGAACAGGCACGTCGAGCCCATGAGGAGGCACGACGGCGCCAGGAGCAGCAGCAGCAGCAGCAGAGACAGGAGCAACAGCAGCAGCAGCAGCAGCAGCAGGCAGCTGCTGTAGCTGCCGCCGCCGCAGCCGCCCCCCAAGCCCAGAGTTCTCAGCCCCAGTCTATGCTGGACCAGCAGAGGGAATTGGCTCGAAAACGAGAGCAGGAGCGGAGGCGCAGGGAGGCAGTGAGTAGGGGAACCTGGTGGGAACTTTGGGCAGGAGTCTACCTTGAAGATCCTGGGATAAAGGTCGTCCTAGGACCTAGGGAGGGAAGGATAGGCAGTGAGCCCAGGCTGGTTGCAGTACACCTGACTGGTCTCCTGAGTTCACTGGCACCTGGGTTGAACAGGGGTTGAAAGGACCAGGGTGGGCATGAGGGAACAGCACCTGGTGGAACAATACACCCTAAACTCACTTCTATCTCCTTCTTCCCCTCCAGATGGCAGCTACGATTGACATGAATTTCCAGAGTGATCTTTTGTCAATATTTGAAGAAAATCTTTTTTGAGAGCACCTAGGTGACTTCTGCCTTTTTCTGGCAAAAATACTGACTCTCCATAGTGTTAGGGGCAGCAGTGGAAGCAGTAGCAGCGGCCAGAGGTGTCTCTGGGCCTGGCTCTCCTGCATGCTATGCCCGGGGCAGGCCTGACGGGCAGCTGAGGATCACAGAGCCCATCTGCCTTACAGCCAGTCGGACAGACGTCCTACCACATGCCACCCCTCAGAGGACGTCAGTTCAGAGCACGCCTCAATATGAGTCAAGTGCCGGCTGGACCCAAGGCCTGCGTCCCCGCTTGCGGGGCAGAGGCCCTTCTCTGCGCCAAATGTCTACACAGTATACACAGGACATTGTTGCTGCCGCCACCATGACTGGTTTTCTGTCCCTGAGAACATGACGTTTGTGACGTCCTACCCGTTGGGAGTCTTTCACACCCCAGCCATCGCTGCCCGCTCCCAGGAGGCCAGGGCAAGCCTGTGTGGACTGGAACGGCAAGGCACTGGCTCACCCCCTTGCTGGCACTGACTTTGCCTTGAACAGACCCTCTCCCCTCCCCACAAGCCTTTAATTGAGAGTCGCTCTCTATAATAAGTGTTCGCTTGTGCAAAAGGGAATAGTGCCATGGAAGTGTGTGTGTGTCCATGGCAATTCAGATAGAGGTGACTGTTCACATATATGGACAGGCCTCACCTGGGGAGTAAGGCCACCAACCAAAGTCAGTTCCTTCCCACCTGTGTTTCTGATTTTGTTTTGTTTTGTTTTTTTCCTATATATATATATTTTTGTTGAATTCTATTTTATTTTTAATTTTCTCTTCTCCTTCAGACACAGTGGCACTGCTTATCTCCAAAATGGTGTGATCGTCTCCTCATTGAGTGGCGGCTCCCACCGCGCTGTGGGTAGTGTGTGACCGTGGCTGTACTGTATAGTGAACATAGTTGGCATATCTTTGTTTGAAGTTTGTTGGTGACTCCACCAAACTGGTGTTTAAAAAAGCAACGAAAAAATAACCAAAACAAAAACAAAAACTTCACAAAAAACCCCACACAAAACAAACTCCTGCTTGTATTCAGTTTCAAACTTTATTAGTCTTATTTTTAATTATAAAACCAGAAAGCTGCAATTTTTTTCCTCTCCCTCTATTTGTTGACTTCTTTGTTTTTGTTTTTTGTTTTTGTTTTTTTTTTTATGTCAAATCTGTTTGTTTTTACCAAGAAAGGGAGAGCCTGGGGATGAGGTGGGCCCCAGGCATTGGGGGGCTGCAGACTGAGGCAGAAGCTCCCCATCTAGCACCTGGTTAGACCAGTGGGCTGCACACCCCCCCCTTTTTTTTAAAAAAATTGGAGCCCCTGGTGAGGTTACATGTGCCATGAGAACCCACTCTACACCACAGTGCTGGTGCCTCGGTGTTGGCCAAACTCTGGAGTCACTGACTGGCTTGACTTTCATATGGTGAATATGCATTTGGTCTGTACTGATCATGGAATAAACACATCTCTCTTTTTTAATGCTGGTGTCTCCCTGACATTTCTTTGTGAACCAACTAGGTTTTCTAGTTTGCTTAGGCTAGGCCCAGGTCCCCAGATACCTTTGCATAAGATTTACCAACACTGAGCCCCTCTCCACTGGCAGGTCCTTCCTTTCCTGGGCAGGAGTTACTTGGGCTCAGTTTCCCCACAAACTGAAGCTGTAACAGGGAACCAGAAACCCTGTCAATACCTGAACAAGGTGGCGATAGGCTTTAGTGATACCTTGGCCAATATCCAGACTACACTCTGAGGGCGCTTCTCCACCCTGGTCCCCTCTTCACA